GCCGTCCGGGTCGTCGTCCGCGCCGAGGAGGAAGTGGTCCCAGCCCCGCCAGTCGTTGCCGTAGTACTTCGGCGGGTCGTTGGGGATGTAGGCGTTGCGCTTCTCACCGGACTCGAGCCACTCGCGCCACTCCTCGGCGGTCTCCCAGCGGTTCATCGCCCTTGCCCACTTGGCGGCCTCGTCGTACGGCAGGTGCCGCGGCCTCCGCCGCTGGACCTCCTGCGACCGGCGGAAGGTGAGCCGGCTCCGCGTCAGCCGGAAGTCGTCGATGGTCTCGAGGCCGCTGCTCTGGATCCGCGCCGCCGGGAGCAGCTCCTCCTCCGCCTCGGCCGCGCCCTCCGCCTCGTCGCGCTCTCCCTCCGCCTCGGGCTCGCCCGGAGCCGACGCCGCGCAACGTGCGTGCGGTCGAGGCGACGGCATCGGCGGCGCGAAGGCGCGGACCAGTGCCGTGGAGGACGCCGCCGCGACCAGGAGCGCGCGCCTCATTGGGACTTGTTTTACCGCAGCAGCCGAAGGTTGATGATGTGGACAGGGGGGGGTTTGCTCCGCCAGTGGCGCCCCGGCCGACCCCTCTAGCGCAGCGACGCGGTACTCGAAAGTCACGATCTTGAGCGCGAACGAACCTTCATAGTACCGTCGACTAGGAAACCAAGGGGCATGTCCAACGCCATCGATGGTGGCGAGATCGGCTGTGCCGGATTTGTCCGTAGGAGCGCGGTGGACGAACGAGGCCCGTAGGGTGGATTTTGGACCGACACCGAAACTGCGTCTCCGGCACTCACCAACCGTCCAGGGCGACGCCAGGGGTCATGGGGCGTCGCCCCGACCACAAAAAGCGACCGTTCTGCACCTATACGCAGCGCATGGCTGGCGCGTATACGCGCGTATTCGTACGTAGGCGGTCCTTTTTCGAGGATATTGTGCCGAGATCGTCGAGTTAGAAAGAGCTTGCTTCACGCGAGCGTAGCCACCGGACCTCTCCCGGCGCATGCAAAAAAGCGTGACTTTAGACGCCGCCGTCGCGCGACGCTGCCGACGTACGCGTTGCCGGAGCAACCCCCCCCATGGCCACAACTTGGCAAGCAGGCTCCTTGCACACCTCGCCCTCGAGGCATGGCCGCGCCCGCGCCCTGCGACGCCGGCTGGAGCCGCGCGCTCTACGACTCGGCTTGCGCCGCCTGCGAGGCCGCGCCGGGCGACGCGCCCCTCGCGCCGGCGCTCGCGCGGTCGTTGGGCGTGCCCTACGAGGCGCTGAGCAGCCTCTGGCACCAGATGCACAGCGCCCGCGTGCGCAAGAGCGCCCACGGCCACCGCGAGCGCGCCGGCGAGTACGCCGCGGCCTGGGCCGGAGGCGAGTCCCTCCCGGCCATCGCGTCGCGCGTCGGCTTCCCGCCGTTCCTCGTCGCGCGCCTC